CCCTGTACGGGTCACTATGAGTTGAAACCGACTCCACAGCACTTAACAACAACAACAACAACAATCTGATCCTAGACATATTTTACATAAAATTGGAATTTCCCTCTTCTAATATTACTTTGACCTGATTGATCACAGAATATATAAGCAATGAAGTGAAGGGACGATGAGGCATGATTTTAAACATGCATTGTCTATGACCTCACACACCTGAGGTGGCACTTTGTGAGATGCTGACATGCAGATTGCAGTGCTTGATGCACAGTCGCAAATGCAATATCTGTAGCAAAAAGATTTTAGTGAGTGGCAAAGCATGGTGCAAGCTAAGCAGATGTGTGTGTCAATTCCCCATCCTCACACAATGTTGAGTCTCTGGCATTTGTACACAGCATCTGTGAGTATTTTGATCTTTAAAACAGGGTTTTACGATCTGTAGTTGAGAAGCAGCACAGAAGTATCAAATATTTTTATTGAGAACCTCCTCAGACTGTCAATTTGTGATCGAATGTGGGAGCAAGAAAACAGTTTTCCATGTTTCTGAAAGGCCACCTCTTCCAACAGACCGCTTTCACCTCCATGAGAACATGAGAACAGTATCAATTGCTTCCAGCTTCCCAGCAGAGTGGGAAATCAACATCACTCTCCCCAACAGAGGTGAGGGTTGGGACATTAAAGACATCACACCTAAGTTAATAGAAGCCTAAATAGAATCATCATGTTCACAACTGAAACAAAAAAGTGAAGCACAGCCCTCAGGCAGATGGAGGTGGGAGACAAGTAAACTTATATTTATCATCTTTGTTGAGAATAGAAGCCCCCAAAACAAAGAATATCAGAAGAAAAACAACAACTAGAAAAAATATTCCCTGCTGCAGGACAGCTAATTACTTATTACGACCCTTCTAGCTATATATTTCCATTCTGTGATATATTGTAAATCCTAACCTCTGAGTTCTGGGTACTGTAGGATAAGCATTGGACTGATTACTGCAAGGTGTTGTAGTTAAGTACCGTCAAGTTGATTTTGACCCCATAGCAACCCTGTATAGGGTTTCTGAGGAGCAGCTGGTAAGCTTGAACCTCCTACCGTGAGGTTCCAAGCCACTTTTCAGCCCAGTGCATTAACCCACAGTGCCACACCAGTACTCCAACTATAAGGTTATTGTTGTTGTTAAGTACCGTGGAGTCAGTTCTGACTCATAGTGACCCTGCACAGGGTTTCTGAGGCTGCAATTCTTTACGAGAGCAGAAAGCCTACCAGCAACCATGCTCTGAAACCTTATACACGGTCACTATGAGCCAGAATCAACTTGATGGCATTTAACAACAAAAATGCCTGTGATTATGGACCCATTTCGAAGTGAGTTGTTAATGAGGCAGGTCCTGGTGTAGTGCTACAGGGTAATGCACTGGGCTGCAAGGCCAGTTTGAACCATAAGGTTATTGTTGTTGTTGCTAAGTACCGTCAAGTCAGTTCTGACCCATAGCAGCCCTGTATAGGATTTCCAAGGAGCAGCTGGTGACTTTGAACCGCTGACCTTGTGATTCAAACAGACTTTGCAGTCCAGTACCTTAACCCACAGTGCCTGAATATTCAACTAGTGATGAACCAAATCCATTTTCCATTGATTTGATTCTGACTCACAGTGACCTGTAAGACAGAGTTTTCAAGGTTGCACTTTTTACAGAAGCTCATGGCTACAGCTTTCTCCTGGAAAGCAGTCCATGAGTTTGAGCAGTCGACTTTTTTGGTTAGCAGTGGGGTGCTTTAACCACTGTGCCCCCAGGGCTCCACTAGACTGGTAATAAGTTTATCATTAAGGTGTAAATAGTCTCAAAACAGCACTGTTGTCTAACACCTTATGAGTTCAAGCAAAGCACAAGTCGATTGGCTTGATACAGGGAAAAAATCTCCTAGGCAAAAACTGTAGTCTTAACGTGTCAAAAGGCTCTGGTAGTGTAGTAGTTACGAATTGGTTTGCGAACCTTAAGGTCAGCAGTTTGAAACTACCACCTGCTCCGTGGGAGAAAGATGAGGCTTTCTGCTCCCATAAAGATTTACAACCTCGGAAACCCTGTACAGGGTTGCTATGGGTCGGCACTGACTCTTAACAACTGGTACTTAACAACAACAACAACATGTCAAAGATTGAAATAAGGAGAATGGTAGGCTTCCTCCCCTCTGATTCCCCTATTGTCAGAAAGTAACCTAACCTCTTATTTCCTTGAGAAAATCTATGCCAGTAGTTCTTAAAAGGGAGACACAGTGGCACAACGCACCACTTGTCTGTCAGTTTGTAGTACTGTAGTGGCTGGCAGTACCATCATCCTTGGCTTCTGGTAAGCTTCCAGACTAAGACAAACTCAGAAGAAGGCAAAGCAGACCACCTCCGAATGCTTAGTGACTGAAAACCTTATTAATAATAGTGAGATATTTTCAGAGGTAGTGCTGGAAGATGAGTCCCTCAGTTTGGAAGGCACTCAAAATATAACTGGGGAAGAGCTGACTCCTCAAAGTAGAGTTGATGTGGATAAAGCAAAATTTTGGGGACCTTCATTTGCTCATTTGGCACAGCTCAAAATCATAACAATCAGCTGCAAACATCGTTAGTAACCAGAACATGGAATGTACAAAGTCTGAATCTAGGAAAATTGGGAGTTGTAAAACTGAAATGGGACACATTCATTAGTGAGCTGAAATGGATCTGTACTGGCCATTTGGAATCTGGCAATCATAGGACTTACTATGCTGGGAATGACAAATTAAAAAGGAATGACGTTGCATTCAATGTCAAAAGAGCATCTCAGTATCTATCTTGAAGCAAATGCTTTCTATGATAGGATAATATCTATATGCCTACAAGGAAGACCCATAAATTCCATTAATATTCAAATTTATGCACCAACAATAAAGCCAATGATGATGAAATTGAAGACAAAATTAGGTATTATAATAAAATGTGCCAAGACCTGAAGTTAAAAAAAAGCACAAGAGAAGAACATACTCAGCATTCCTCAAGATGAAAGATCTGAAGAAAAAATTCAAGCCTTGGGTTACAATATTGAATGGTTCTATGGGCAAAATATTGAAGGACACAGGAAGCATCAAAAGACTATTTCAAAGAGCAGCTCGAGAAGACAAAATAAAGAACTATAATGAAATATGCAAAGATCTGGAGTTTGAAAACCAAGAGGGACGATTACACTCAGTATTTCTCAAAATGAAAAAAAATTCAAGCCTTGACTTGTAACAGTGAAGGATATTGTGATATATTATGATACTGAAAGAGAATCTTTTGTGTCACTGAAAACATAAACAACACCAAAAAATTCTGTTAGAAGACAGGAGGAAGTAGTGGTTGGAGGGTGGCATAAATAGGGCCTTTGAGGGGCTAGGTAAGGTAGTGTTTTTAATGTAAGTGACTATGTGAAACCTTATCAAGCTTCACCTTTATCATATGCATATTTGCATTAGTAAGGGTTCTCTAGAAAAATAGAAGATAGGTAAGTAGGTAGATAGATATGGAGATCATCATTCAAAAGAGCCCCATTGTGGCTCTTTTAGGTTAAACACTTGACTGGTAGCTAAAAGGTCAGCAGTTTGAAGCCACCAGTATGTCTGAGGAGAAAATATTAGCTGATCTGTTCCCTTGAAGAACACAGTCTAAGAAACCCCATGGTGCAGCCCAACACTGCCCTCAAGGGTCTCTGCAAATCAACTCATGACAACAAATAATTGACTATTGACAAATAGTTAATTCAGCTAAACAGAAGTTGTACATCAGAACGTCTCAAATATTTAACCCATTCTTCCTGCAATGCACTATTACGTTGTTGTATCATGATTCCTTATTACATACAGAATGACTTGATGGCCCATTTCATGCTATTAACTGTTTTACCTAAAGTCACAGCGATCCCATCTAATTCTTAGTGTAGCTGATAGTCACCACCTAAAAAATGCCTTGGATTATTCAAAGAGTACATGTGGGGTTACTCACCAGCACTGCCAAGCTCAGCATGTGGCAAGGCATATGGCACACCATAAAAATCACAGACTTTAATGATTTATTGGAATGGCACTATACAAAAATTTATTGTGTTTAGTCCTTTTTCTTAATAAATGATTGAAACAAACTCTGATTTTTGAAAGCACTACATGAATATAATTTTAAATTATGAAAAACATAGAGGAAAGATTTTTCATTTCAATGATAAACTTCATGCTATTTAAACAGGCCATACTTAGAAAATATTTGAAAGTTATGCAAAGAAAAAAAAGTCTATGCTAACTGTTAAGTATGTAATAAGAACACATTTGAAGCTGTTTCATCATGATATAATTTAACCACAGTTATGTGATTACAGTTATAAAGAATTAAAATTTCAACATTGAACTAGTTTAAAATAGCCTCTTCCTCAAATAGGCTTTGCAAAGTATTTAAAGCAGTTTTCAAAGTATAATTTTATACTTTGTTATTGATTTATAATGAAACATTTTATTTGATAATCATAAAATTATTAAAGATTAAAGAGACTATTAAAGTGGAATGATAATAATAATAAACAGGAACAACTATATGACAGATTATATCAATAAAAATTATCTCCTGTCCAAACATTTATATTCTTTCTTAAAATACTCTTATACGGTTTCATTTTTTTTGTTTTGCACATAAAAATATAGCTGCATTCTGAATCATTCTTTTTTTAAAAAGCCAGTTGATAGGAAGTAATTTTGCTTTCTCTTGACATATGAGTATTACTTTTCCTTCCTTCATTATTTGGCTTCATATGAAATCTCCTACCAACCTTCAGTAGTAGAAATACTGGCGCCATTTAAAATGTCTCGTTTTGCCATGCAAAGGTAAACAAATTTTCAAAACAACTACAGCTTTAGTTATTCTACAGATAATTAGTATTGTAATGATATGAAATTGTATTTGGAGTAATTAGAAAATAAAACTTCAGACTTGACATTTAATTTGGAGACTACTCACCACTCTTGGCTTACAGTTGTAATAGCAATGCTTGGAAGGGCAGTCAGTGGGAGCGTGGTGGGCCTGGAAAGGCCATCTCCCTCCGGAGTCCTTGCTCTCTCACTCTGTCTTTGGGACAGTGGTGGCAACTGTAAATTTCCTGAACAACACCTTCTACCTCTCCAGAGGTCGATCCCAAGTGTGTTACTGGAAGAACTGTACGATTTACTCAAGCTACATTCAAAATAATCCTTCACATTCTGGAGGAACGACATGGAAATAAAAAAGAAGAGAAAGAAAATGAAATTCAAACATTTAAACTGATATATAGTGATGTAAACACAAAAAACTAAATGATCACGTTGTCACTCATAAAATCCTGATTCATTATCTCACACCTGTAATCTAACAATAACTTCAAAAGCTTAGGAGAAATCAAAAAGGTAAGGTAAGTAATTCTCAATATTGAGAATGAGTTCATCAGTTGCACATTCTTGGCAACCTTCATGTATAGTAGATAATATTCACCAGTTATAGCACATAGGATGGAGGACTTTTTCTTTTCTAGTGTCCTCTTTGAATCCTGGTGTGGAGCTGTGGGTTAATATATTGGACTGCAAAGTCAATTTGAACTGCAAGTTTGGCTGTTCAAGTTCACCAGTTGCTCCTCAGAAACCCCATCGGTCACTATGGGTCAGAACCGAGTCCACAGCACTTAACAAGAACAACAACAACTATTCTCTTTCTTTCTGCATTTCTTTCTTGCTTACTTTTTTCTTTCTCTCTTTCTCAGTATATTTTTTTAATTTGCTAAAATGAAATATCATCATTAAAAACACATTCTGGAAACCAGTGCTATCATTCTGCAACATGAGAATAAATTTTAATAGCTAAAGGGTAAAGTTCCTTAAGCTGTATATTTTAAACTAAAAATACTAACTAATGATAGCAGGATGTTGATAATTATAAGTGACTTAACACTCTATAAATGTCTTCTCATGCTTTGTTTTGTTATTGCCGAATTAAAAAAGACTTCAGAAAAAGAAAAGCACATTTTATCAAGTCCTGAACTGTCATGTTCGACTACATGCCCCAATGAATAAAATATTTGTGCAAAGACAAAGGCATTGTTTTATAATCCTTGATAAGAGTTATCCATTCTCTCCATATCACTTTGTGACTATGGTTCCTGGTACTGTTGGGAGTGGGAGTTCTGAATGAGCCTCTGCTTGAGCAGCTCAAAGATACGAAAAAAATTCTACAGCAATACAGTTGACCATGGACAGCAACTCAGGGCTGAGAAGCTCTAACTTTCATTCTCAGAATGTAACAGGACATGATTATAGAACTCCCACCACCAGGCCAAGATAGCTCACCTGAAAATATTGTTTTGTTTCTAAAAAACTTTGTTGCTGTTGTTAAGTGCCATCAAGTCGATTCCAACCCATAGCGACCCTGTATAGGGTTTCCAAGGAGCAGCTGATGAGCTTGAACCACTGACCTTGCAGTTCAAGTGACTTTGCTATCTGATGCATTAGCCCACAGTGTAAGACATAGGTGGTTCCTAATAGTTCTTCCTAATAGACTTAGGAAGACCTAGGACTAGATCATCTACATCTTCGACAAACAAAAGTTCTCTATACATCTACCCTTTCAACCACATCTGTCCTAGTGCATATAAGAATAATTAACTCAACTTTAAGCATTGAGTTGGGTTTATTCAACAAATATTTATTGCATGCACCTGAGTTTTATGCTGTACTGCTTACAAAGGATATAATATCAAAAGAGAGGCATAGGATCTGTTCTCAAGAATTTGTATTTATTATTTATATATATCTGATCCACATAAGACTTTATCGTAGGCCACATTTTGAAGACAGAATCTTGAACATGAAAATACTTGGTGTCTTTCAGGAAAATTACTATCACAATTTGGAAATGGGATCTCACTATTGTTTTTGTGTTTGACTAATGAATTTAGAATACTTGCTTATTTGAAATTCAGAAAACCACAAATCAGTAACAGGAAGAAGACAAAACAAGCCAGCATTTTCCAGTTTTTGGAATATTCTGGGATATGTCCAGTGTTTTCCTTTTATTATCTAATTAATACATTATTGCATTTTGTGTGCATGTGATAAGTGAGAGATTGAAAGGAGATATTAGCATATATGAGTTCTCTTCTCAAAAGACTTACATACTAATTGAGGAAGCAAAATACACAAGGTTTTTCTGAAGAAATTTCAGAACAAATAAAAAATTAGAATACCTATAAACCAGTCTAGTTCCAAATATGTAAGTTAAAAAAAAAAAAAAACTGAAACGAAACACTGGCAAAGACTTAAATATGAACTCTATAGCCATAAAATTCTTAGAAGAAAATACAGGAGTGTATCTATAAAAATTAATTTTTAATGATGATTTATTCTGTACAATCAGCAAAAGACAAAATAAATTGGATCTCATTAAAATTAAATACTTGTATCCATCAAAGGAATATTATCAACAAAGTGAAAAGGCAACCCGCAGATTGGGAGAGAATCCTGGGAACCACTTATCCAATAAGGGCCTTATACCTACAAATGTTCTGCAATTTAACAATAAGAAAACGAACAACCCAACCAAAAGCTGGGCAAAGTTAATACACTACTCCCTCCAAATTATTAACAACCTCAAAGGCAAAGTCTGATTTAATCAATTCTCAATTGTTGTTAGGTCTCATTGAGTTGTTTCCGACTCACAGTGAGTTTTGTACAACAAAACAAAACACTGCCTGGTCCTGGGCCAACCTCACATTGCTGTTATGGTTGAGCCCATTGCTACTGTCACCATGCCAGTCCATCTCACTGACATCTAGGTGTCATCTTGGATTGATTTTTTTCTTTATTTTTTAACTTAAGTAATATGATTCTGGAGAACTGGTGTGGCTCTGTGGGTTAATGCACCAGACTGCAAAGCCGTTTGAACTGCAAGGTCGGCGGTTCAAGCTAACCAGCTGCTCCTCAGAAACCCTATACAGAGTCGCTATGGGTCGGAACCAACTCGATGGCACTTTACAACAACAACAACAACAATATGATTCTGACTGATTCTATACAACTCATCATTTAAAACACATTTGGGAATGTCTTTAGATAATTGGATGCTATCTAAGAAATCATAATTTTTTAAATGCATCATGCTGCCCCAAATACACCAACTACTTTAAAAAAAAAAAATCTAGGAAGAAAATCTAGTTTGAATTTATCCTCCTGTTAGTGGATAAACAGGTGTTTTTAAACAAACAGTATTCTTTTCAGTGAATCCCAACAGATTATAACAAAGGAAAAGCTAGTGTGAAATCTAGCACTCAAGTAAGAAAAGTCTGCAAGGACAGGAGAGACTCCAAAGACACTGATACCTTTGTCCTGTCCCCTATTCAAAACCAGCTGAGTAAGAACCACTAAAACGTCTGCATAAGACATATTGTTGCCTAAGTAGGCAAGAAATTTATTGCTATTGTTTTGTTTTCTTTTTTCTTTAATCTACTTCAGTCATTTCTAGAGCTTGTTCTATTTTCCAAATTTTTCCAATTAAACTCATGGTGAGAAAAATACATTAGGTGCTTTCATGTGCTTGATATACATTCAACACTGACCATAGACTGGAGTTTTAAAAGCCTTGTGAAACCAGAACTGAAATGTATGCATCAAATGACACTCAAGGTCTCCATCAAAGATAACTGTTAGAATGTTTCATGAGATAATACACAAAAGTAATTTTGTCTTTGAAAGGTATGGTTTCATTAAAAGCAATCACCACCAATTACAAGAATAATTTGCCTGGAAGAAATTTTTATCAGTCTTCTCTTTTACTGACCTCTCTTTCATTACTTTAAAATAATTATCTATGGTCTCTGATTGGAAATAAAGAAATATAACTGAGATATTTGTCTTTTCATTATAATACAATATATTTTTTTAAATTTAGTTCCAGTTTATTAAACCATTTTCTCCTAACCTCCTGATTTCTTATTCTTTTTTCAACTTCTGTATCAGCCTATAACTCTCTTTTCTAAACTATTTTTTAGAACCTTTTATCTGTAATTACTTACTTGGATTAAGCACTTGAATAGAATTTATTTTATACTTGACCTCACCCCTAGATCCTCATATGCAAAGTATTAAATGCATTGAATGCTGAGGGGTTCAAATCCACCCAACAACTACCAGGAGAAAGACCAGTCAGTCTGCTCCTATAGTAATTACAGTCTAAAAACCACTGCAGGACAGCTCTACTGCATTATATGGGATCGTTATAAGTAGAAGATGATCAACGGCACAACAGCGTAGTGGCTGCAAACCTCAAGGTCAGCAGTTTGAAACTACCAGTTGTTCCATGGGAGAAAGATGAGGCTTTCTGCTCTGGTAAAGATTTACAGCCTCGGAAACCCTATACATGGTCACTATGAGTCAGAACCGACTTCACGGCACATTACAACAATAACAGCAATACTAACATTAAGTTATTTGAGTAACATAAGTATATAGAGTTAGGAATCATGGTTTATTTATTTATATATCCCCATGAGACTCGCTCTGTGGCGCTGTGGGTTAATGCGCCAGACTGCAAAGCCTTTTGAACTGCAAGGTCGGTGGTTCAGGCTCACCTAGGAAACCCAATGAAGGGTCACTAGGGGTCGGAATCGACTC